TATATATATATATATATTTATTCCAAATCAATATATTTTTTTTTTTACTTAAATATCATTCATTAAATTTTATTTATCATCACTTTTTCTTTTTTGTGTTTTTTGAATGCTTAGTGTGGGTTTATAATTTTCTGTAACATATTTTTTGTTAACTTTCAAGCACATTTGTATGTTTAGCAGATTTTCTCACCTTTCAAAGGTACATGGGTGAAGGCCGATCTTCACAGCTACGGCACTGCCTGCATTAAGATGACTGCCTTCAATGGTGATCCTTGTTCCTCCAGACAGAGGGCCGGCGGATGGGTGAACGCGGTTAAAATATGGAGACTAATGAAAGAGACAGAGGGTAAAGCAGGTCAGGAAGAACTCAGTGCTTTTAACACGGCTGTCACACACAATTATAAGATTGTCCCAAGTTAAAAAAAGAAAACCCTTTTGCCAGAGCAGTATTTTAAATCAGAAACACTTGCCACAAAGGTGAAGGCTTTAGGTGAAACAGCTTTGTAGTCAGGGTGGATGCAGTCCCTTACGCAGACCTCCACCTGGGCATCCTGCACCCTGTAACCCGTGGCATCATTCAGTCGGCACACGATCCTGAGGAGAGGGAAGAACACAGATGGAGAGACGAGTTAAACTGGTTGCTTAAAGATAACAGTTTAGTTTGGGCTAAGGTCATCTAGAAGCAACAGCTCCATGTCTATTTGTTTTGAAGTGTGTTAAGTTGGATAGAAGGCTTTACCTAAACAAACACGGAAACAAGGAAAACTAGAACTGGTTTTAAAAACAACAGAACCAAAACATTTATACTACTAATATACACTCAGTGTTGAGATCAAAGCTTTTGAAATGTGACCAGATAAGGATTGAACCCCAGGAATGAAATAGTTTGGAAACCGGCAGGTTTAAATGACTTCCAGCCTTCTGATGGGGTAAGACGACTAACCAACGAAAATATTCAAGGTTTTGGTCGAAGTGAAACCGGCTAAGAAACCTTAAAGATAATAAAAGCTGGTAATAAACAAACATTTCACCGTATATGAATAGAACAAAAGTCTTAATCAACTGTCTGTTGTAACACAACTTTACAGACCATTTAAATCTTCAACACAAATACTAAAAGGAGTTTCAGTAACAGAATAGGTTCCTTTTACAGATTTATCACGATTTTTCTTAACCCACTTTTAGATTCATATTTACTTTGAGGTACAAAGAATAGTGTTGGTTCTCAGAAAAACTTTATCAGTTTTTAAAAGGGATTATTGGAGGCCATGCATAAAAACAAAAATGTATCTCTAATGTAACCCCAAGAACACATTGATAATACAACTTACAAAGGAAGACAAAGTAGGAGATGTTCGAAAAACTTTTTTAAATGTCTGTCTAGAAGGGAATATTTGGTAATCTGAACATGCACGTCTAAAACCTGCCTCTCCTGTATTTGCAGTGAGTCCATCATAAAAACAACAGAACAAATGTTCAGAGCAAATCTCATCTGAAATAGAAGAGTCTCTCTGCTCCTGTGTACACTAAGCCTGCATTAACTCATACTGTAGAAGCGTAAGCAGAGCACATGGCCTTGGGCGCTGGCCGGCCAAATGAAAATCCACTGGAGAAATTATCGAGCGACGAGAAGAGTGGTGGTGCAGCCTGCAGGGAGGAGACACACACACACAAACTCACATACGCACAAACTTCATGTTTCAGCCACTGGAGACACAGTTGACTGTTAATTAGCCAGAGCGAACGAATGAGACAGAGAGAAAGGGCGAGAGTGCAGAACAGAGAGAGAGAGAGCGCGCTTAGGAAAGGAGAGAGAACATTACAGTGAGCGAGGCTGATTAATTGAACGTGCTCATATCTTACACATCTCCTCAGCTTCCTCACCCTGGGATAAGTTGTTAACTCTGCTGCTTCCTTCCTCCCTGCAGGTGGCCATGGTAACCGTGGCACAACGGCGACAATGAATTTCACATTCCGATGCCGTGCGCATCAATTGTTTTTTACTTTGCCTTTCATTTATTCCCAGGTCTCCTGCTATGACAGGGGGCCGCCATTAAAATGCTGGACAGTTCTCGGCTAGAAACGCGGCTTCGGCTGCGACAAGGCTGCAAAGATGACGGGTGGCTGCACCGAGCTAGTACTGATTCACTGCTTCAAACGTTACCTCGTTTAGATCAGTGCGTAAAATTATGAAATAGAAAATGGAAAGATGTTACATCCACAGATCACTAGTAATAAAACAATATTTTTTCCCCTTACTAAAGGTTTCTTCAAGGTGAAGTCATATCCAGCTCGTTAATATTTAATGATTGAGATGAATGACAAAAAGTTCTACTTCCTTCAACTGGATCAAAGAAACAGAGACCGACTGAAGGCTGGATTAAGTACAAGTGTTGGTAGCACAAAAAAAGATGGGGAGTAATGGTGAGAACAACGTGTTCAAATTTTTGCAAGATGTAAAATGACCCCCACCTCTCTTTTTCTACCACCTGACCTTTGACCTGTGCTGTCAGTCCTAAAGACTCCGCTCTAGATCTGATAGGGTTACAGGGACATCAAGTGAAACCAGGCCACTAATGGCTCCGTATGGCAAACATCACTTATAATTAGGATGGCAGCCTAACTGCCTACCACACCCTCCTCCTCTTCCCCCCACCCTCTTCTCCTCTTCCTGCGCTGCTACTATAACAGATTTGCTGCACCACAGAGCTGAAATTATAATAGAAATAAATGCATTAAAAAAATTCTAATCACATTTTTCTTTTGGACAAAAATTACAAATGCAAACATTTTAATTTTCTGCTGCACCATCCACAAGCCGGACCTCCCTTCTTCTCTCATCAAGAGTCCATTGTAGCACGGATATATTGTTACTATAGAATAACTACTTCTGCCTGTCACTACCCGATCCGTACCAGAAACGCAATCCGTACCATCAGCTCATTTGCGCAGGTGCAACAAGATATTCATCCAGGTCGCCATATAAAATGTAATCAAGGGACTAAAATTACTTATTTCTATCCTTAAATCACCAAATAATGCAAAATTACATGTTTAAAATTATAAATTTTTCTGGGATTTGGATGAGTTTTACCTTGGGTTATATTGCATGTCTGACGTCATCATCAGACGCGCTCAGAGCAGTCCAGCAAAATATCGTTACACTGCTTTTATCTGTAGTTTATTTGTGTCGTTATTTAGATGACGCACAATATACTATAAAAGTACTACAAAATGCAAACATAAAACCCCATATTACAGCAATTATCTACAATTGCAGGCAGAAAAAATAAGCCTCAAGGAGTAGGGTGGGACCCAACTTCTGAGACAGATCGGAGCTGCAGACGAGGGATGAACAGAGAGGATGTAAGCACATTTATTCGCTCAGAAAAGACGTTAACATTTAACAAATTACAGTTAAGTACACTTTTTTATAATTCAGGAGAGGAAAAAAGTAGTTTCTACTTTTTTTTCAGAGAGCGAGGTGACCCATACTGTATATATCCTAGCTGTGAATGCACAAGCGATCTAACAGTACGGATTGGGTCATGACTGTGCAGACAGACTGTCTTTATTATTACCACCACCTCATGGACTGGAGTGAGAAATCTACCATCTTATTTTCCATAAATCTAAAAAGACCAAAGATCAAGTCCCTCTGCCAACTACATTTTCTTTAATTGCAATTATATTGTAAATGTAATTAATTATACAGCCTTACTAGATATGAAGCAAGAAATCAGCAGAATCCAAGTTGATTTAATGCGTGACCCACATTTTCATCTTAAAATCGGAACAGTTAACTCTCCCAACTACTCTGACCACACTCTTCAGTGTAGATGCCGTTACTGGGGGAAGAATTCCACGTTAGCGTTATTAGTATAAGTGCGGCGTTTAAGATGTATAAATAAGAAAGATGAGCCATAAAGTCTGTAAATCAGTTTTATTCTACAAAGGAAAGCTGCCACCTCCAGCCCCTTTAAAGGGGAACCTGCCATCGTAAATTTTATCCTTTTAAAAAGTGTAGGTCTAATATCATGTTTGACTAACTAATGTTGGAAATTGTTTGGAAGTCTCACAGCTGAGGGACCACAGAGAGAGGAGGCTATGGGCAGCTCTTTCAGCTGCATCCTCATGCTAGAAGGGTGTTTCTAGGTTCATCTTTTACTCCACCTAATTGTTTCACTCTGTAGTTTGGGTCTATTCTGTTTTCGTCCTTCTGTAAGAAGGGTCTTCTCAATTATTCACATATATTACAATCACATCCAGTATTTAAATTCAACAATGTATTTAGTCTATTGTTGTATTTGTTGATTAAAATTTCATTATTTTACTGATTTTATTTGCAATTTTACAACTGATTGTCCTCTGAGATCAACAGTTTTGTCACGTAGGATGGAGCATAGAGCAGAAAATTACTGCACACCTTAGAACAGAACAGGCTGCAAGTTAAAAACCAGCCACTAATCACTATTACTACTAATACAAGGCAAAGACAGTGATTTTTCTCTTCCTCTTATATCGACATATAAAAGCAGAGTTAATTACAGCACTACTGTATGTGGGACATTAGTTTATATAGATGCAAAGTGAATTGGTTTATATCAGCAGCTGAGACGTTCTTCTCCTTCTGTTGCTGAGGGTTGGTCTGAAAGCTACAAGTTGGAACTTTTTAATCAGAAAAAAAGGCTAAAATAAAGCTGATTCTTACCCGATAGCTAAAGACAGTCGTGTAATTTTTTTGTTTGTTCTACAAAATGTTGATAATCTGAAAACTGGACAGTTGGGCGACATTTTTACTCTGGCGCTTAAACAAACACTAATAATCAACCACGGCAAAGACCTTTAAGTCTTATTTATATTTTTGAAATATTACATATGTATATATAATAATCTGTGTTTTCTATGGTTTTATTTCTACAGAAGCCTTCACCATGCAGAAAGAGGCAGGTCTGTATCTCAGTCTGGGCTGTTTTTCTGGAAATCAACATAAAGTATAGAGAAAGCAGGTACTCTTTATATTGTTTTATTTTAAAGGTCATGAAAATTGGGAACAACATTTGAATCTACAGGTCAGATCTTTCTGTATATCTGTTATCAGTCACCAAATTCCACATCATTGACTCCATTTGTAAAATGCAGCTCTACTTAGGTTTCACTATCTGGGAGAAAAAGTCAACCTGTTTCCTCTAGAATCAAGAAAAAAATGAAATCAGAGCTTGTAAATTATAGATCACAACTGACATGCCACTACCCATTCTGGCGACACCTGTCACCAGCAGAGAGAGCAGCAAAGCGTTCTGTTGTTTTTACTGTCAAAGTATCAAAGTCACGTCTCTTGCCTTTCCTTCCTATTGAGGAGGCAGACGAACAACCAAATCAGCCGGGGCTGTGCAGTAAAAATCAGCAAATGGCACATTAGTGTCTACTGAGAGCTACATGGTAAGGACCTGAACACTGGAGACGTCTCAAACTGTCACGAATGTCCCAAATTCTTTCCTAAATGAGCTCGTCTGCTTCAAGGAAAAGGAGATAGAGGCGTATTTCACTACAAACTGAAATGCCTTGGATTTCCAGGTGATGGACCAACACAGATAATAAAATGGACAAGGAAGAGAAAGGTTTTTAGAATGGATAACAAATGGACTATAATGGTAATCTTGCCCCACTCTAATGCCTATAAATTTACTCTAACACTACCTTCAGAAATAACTGAATTAGTAAACAGAACCTACCTGTGAGCAATTTGATAAAATGCTTGAAAAATAAAATAAAAAAGGTATATTTCTACAATGTAAAGATAACTCCAGTTTACAAAAGAATTTTTTAGATTCCATGAGAACAAAACTGAATATTCTGGCCAAACTGCAAAGTGGAAAAAACACTTTATATAACACTGAAAAGCAACAACGTCCTTACAGTAAGACAGGGAGGGGGCAGCATCATGCTGTGGGGATGCTTTTCATCAGTATGTAACAGGAATGTTGGTCAAAATTGATAATAAAGTGGATTGAGCTAAACTAAGGAACAATGGTAACAGAAAGAAAACCTAAAGTGTACACACCCTCCATCTAATCCGACTCAGCTTCTTCTACTATTTAGTTCTCTTAAAGCTGGAAGACAAAGACAGGGAGAGGTGGTTCTGGAGAGCATATATTTACATGCTTAAATAATACCAATGATAGATTTTTAAGATTTCTATAATAAGCAAAAATCTTGCATTCAATTTTATTGGCACAGATTCTCAGCCATTGGGTTGATGACAGATCTGCCCTTACATTGGAGCCAACCAGACTTCTAATTCTTGTTTGATCTCTCATTAAAAAGGCTTCTTCAGTTCTTGACATTGAAAGAATCAGACTAACATTCATAAGGCTGATCTAAAACCCTTTATGACTTCTATATTGAAGTATGGATCTCTATGGAAACAAAATGTAAAAGAATTCAGAGCCGTTATCAATCTGTCAAAGGAATGTTAAGTAGTTTGAGCAAAGCCTCGAATCTAAAGCACCACCAACAGGATAGTGTTTATATTTCCGATGATAACTGAAGGGTAATAAAAACTCACATGAAATCATTTATTTCTGGAATAATACAAAATAAAAAACAATCTGCAGAGCTGAATTGACCCTCTTTGTCGTTAAAACAAAGAGCTCACTCATACTAGAACAGACTGTGCGTAAACATGAAGCGAGATCATCCAGACGGGACTTTCAGGCTGCTCCAAATAATCTGCTTCACATAAAGAACTGCTGCAGTTATTAAAAGAGAGTTAAATTAAATCCACAACACCCGCTGTGATTCAGAATTTCCCAGAAAGCGGTAAATATAACCTAATGAGAGGAGGCGTTCACATGACAACCTTTTAGCTATGAGCAACCTTATGGGATGGAAGCCACCCACTTCCAATAATAAAATGTTATTAATCTTGAACTTCTTAAAATCAGAATAGTTGGAGAAATACATTTGGTGTAGGAGGCTTCATGAGTCAGTTTATTTATTCTGATCATTTGTGGAATAAAAGGTTGCCGTCACATTTAGAAGGACCGCACGCCTGCAGCACAGCGGTAGCGTGCGCAGCTCTGGGCGCTTTGAAGGGAATTGGTTCTTTTGGAGAGGAGGAAACAGCTTTTAACCTTTACCGGTTTTATGAAACAGCGAGGGAGAGATTGCTGTGCTTAACGTCTAGTGTCACATCGATTTGGGACTAGAACAAGCAGGGAAGAGGAGAGTTTCAGATGTAGTTATGTGAATGGACGGGGAGACGACTGAATGGTGTCAACGTACTGCTCAGCGCTGATGTATTGGTCCGGCTGAGGGTTGCATGCCACCTTCCCGATGCGCACTCCATTTTCGATGTCCTTAAACTGCAGACCCAGGTTCTCACCGGTGATAGTCAGCATAGTGCCTCCCTGTCTGGGCCCCGTTTCTGGAACAAGCTGGTGGAAAGACAAACAAATGTTGGGATTAAAAAGTAAGTTTGGAGAAATTAAACATGCAATGCATGTAATCTGTTGTTAAATACAGATAGATACAAAAATGCATCCAGTAATAAGTATTATCTTTTTTTTCCTCTATACTTTTGACATTTATTTTCACATGTTAAGTTAAATGGAAATCAGGGATTAACATTTTCTTCATTCTATTGCAAGTAAAAACACAAACTATATATATACTAAAATATCCAAACCAACTGTCTATAGAACCCACAGACTTTGATAATAGAGTCCTGCTGTGTTAATCATAAACACACCTCCTGTGCAGGGAATTAACGCTGCAAATCCCCCTAAAGACATCATCCTCCCCATGAAACATGGTGGTGGCAGAATGATGCTATGGGGGACATGTTTCATAAACAATGACAAGTCAGCTTTTAGTAACACCTTGAACAAATAAGGGATGAGTGGTTGAACATAGAACTCACTTAGGGGGTTAAATACTAACACTGTGATTTTTTTAACCCCGCCCCCTTTGCAATTGCTATGTGACATAAAACACAAATAAATTGGATGTAAATAATATTTGCAAAGTCACAAAATGTTTAGGAGTTTGAGGTCTATTAACATGTTTTTTTTCCCATATTGCTGTAATTTATCGCATGATTAAAGTTTCTATAGTCGTGGTATTTGAAAGGTGCTACGCTATCAGCCCCATTAGCTCCACCTGTTCTCACTTTGCAGCCCTCCCTCTCAGCCTCAGCCAATTACTCATTCAACCAATAAGGATTCATCTGCACATTCAACACTAACAAAGTCTTAATGTCAGATCTCCTTTCTTTCCCCTCAAGGTCTGCGAGAGGTGAGAAGAGGTGCTAATGGCTACCGAGTGCTGGCCTGGTTGCTAATCACTTCCTATTCATCCATTTCTACATGCAGACAATGGTAATCAGTCACTTCTAGCATAATTAGGCCTAAAGCTAATTGGATTAGAGCACAACCAGGCCGTGGGGGTCATTTGAAGCGACATAGAGAAGGGCGGGGTTTAGGCTCCCAGTTGGGTCTCAGGATGTGGGCAGAGTTAAATTTTATTATTTATTACTGCTGCTGTTATGTTTTTTTTTTTATGAATGCTTTACATGCTTTTATTCTTAAGAATTACCTTCCTTATTTAAATTTGAGCTCTTTATGTATTTATTGGGTAACGACTAATTGCAGGGGGAGTGCGCTGAGTTCATGCCCCACTCCCACAGACTGCCACTATGGGTCCCTGAGCAAGAACCTTAACCCCACACTGCTCAAGAGGTGGCAGCCCACTGCTCTCCAAGTTAAATGCAGAGAGTTAATTTCGTTGCTTTTTCTACTTGCGGCAGTTTAATGACAATAAAGTAGAATTCTAAAAAAGGAAAAAAAAAATCTTCTATTCTAATTGATGATCAAACTTAGCATATTTCTGCTGACAGCAAAAGTTCCTTTATCATTAGTGTTTGAATCATGCTGGATGATAATGAGACTGGTCCTTTTAAGGCAACATGTTTCAGTGTTAAGTTACACAAAGAAAGAAACCACAGACAGTGGCTGGCTAGTTTCAGACAGAGGTGCTACAAACAGAAACACGGTGTCCTGGAGGCCAGAGCTGAAATGCCACAGTGATATAAATAGGCTGTTTTCCAGTCTGTCACCACCTAAGATGCCGCAGAGCATCTCTTCTTCCTCTTGAACTTTTTTAACTGCCTTCCAAACTCTTGCTTTGCTCTAAATGGGCCTATTTTAAAGCGCATAACGACCGAGTGACTGGCTCAGAGTGGTTCCCCAGCCAGAATCTTCAGATATGTTAATCAACTCCTCTTTTTCTCAATAAGTGGCAGTTTATCAAACACACATACACGCCAGTGGTTACATCAGCAGCTAAATACCACAAACAAAAAGGCCTTTTTGATAAAAGCCGCCAGCCTAAACACTCGCTCTATTCTCTGCCTGCCGTCACAACGCTTTACGCCCATTCGGTGGCTTTTTCTTTTTCCTTTGTAGCATCCTTGTCCTGTTGTGTTGAAGGCTTTGTGTCAGGCCCATTGTGTCTGCCTAAGCAGCAGAGCACAGATAGCATCTGCTCGTTATAGGAGGGGGAGGAGAACGGGGGGAGGAAAGCAGGGGGCACGGAGATGATACGCACGCTGCGTAAGGCCTCTGAAGTTTTCTGCAATCTTGAGAAACTAAAGGTCACAGACGAAATGATGGTGGTACTGCCGAGCATTCTTTACTAGCTGACTAAGTGAATTATTAATAAGATAATCGATGGCGATGTGTGAAGAACATTCTGTGTCAGAAGTCAAAATCCATTCGGGGCCAATTATAACATTCTAGCTCAACTCTAAGGGCACAGAAGGAGTCATAAAGACGCAAACAGCTGACATCTTGCCATAATTGTTCCTTTATAGACGGGAACTGCAAGCATTTGCACTGCCACTGGTCCTTTTAATGTTGGCTTGTGCAGTAACAATGAGGCTCATTGTTCAGCACTAAAACTCGATCAGCAAATCAAAGTGGTTCGGTCGATAAAAGCCTCTAAAAGGGGCAGAATCTATCTCGGTGTCGACAGAGGTCGCTATAAAGATGGGGAAATGACCGAAGAGCAAGGGAGATAAAGGGGAATTGGATGGGGAGAAAAGGAAAAGTTGAACTGCTAAAGATCCCCGGGGAAATGAGCTGAACATGAGAAGGCTAATGTGGAAAATCTCAGAGCTTAAAGGCACAAAGTAGAGAAACTACCAATGTTTCATGTGCACAAAGATGACATTTTACTTAAAAACAGTTGCTCATTCATGTCATCCACCTTCTTGTTTTCCAAATGCAAAAAACAACTCAGCAGCTCATAACTATGCTACAAGCTGAAGAGCTAAAAATGCACCATTACAGCCCTCACGCTGGCACGGCCGGCTCCGTTTTAATTGGTTTCTTAGGGCTCAGTGCGATGCTCTCTACGTCCCAAAAGAGCATGCGAGCAGGATATGATGGATGACGGTGGGCCAGGTAGCGTCCAGCACCAGTAAGGGGACATTTTTTCTCTATATCAGGACACAGAAGCACAAGGTGTGTGTGTTTTAATCCGTGCAACTTGAATTTAATCTTGAAGACACTATGAAGAAATCACTGAAAGATGAGATTATCTGGTTGTTTCAAATGTAGGAGACTTGTGAGTACCAGACAGGGTTTGATCAGTAATGGGCCTTGCATTATAATTCATACCACTATAAGCTATTATCTTAACATTCCTGGTATTTTATTAGGATTTTATGTGACACATTATTTCCCTTACAAATAGAAACCTAAAAAGTTTGGTTGGTGTTTGTATTAAGCCTCTTTGAGTTAATACCTAGCATGTATTTTCAGCATCCTCTAGATGCTGAAATTCTTTTGTGGAATGTCAACACTGAAATATGAGTCTGTTATTCCTCCCTAAATAAAAAAAAAAAAAAAAGACTTTAAACTTGGACATAATTAAAAGCATTTTTCATTAGTTTTTTAAGGTCTGGGCTTTAGCTATGTTATTCAATTTGACATAAACCATCCATTGTAGCTGTGTTTAGGGTTACCACTCTGCTGGAAGGTGAGCCGTTCTTTTGCCCTATATTTAGCTCCATCCATCTTCCTCTTTAATTTGACCAGCTTCCCAGTACCTGGTCAAAAAGAAGGTACCTCCACTATTGTTTGCACACAAAACCAATACTTTGAATTTGAGTTTTTAGATAATGGAGAGCGCAATCCTTTGCAACAGCTACCAAGCCTGAAACATCATTTTAAACCCTAACCTTGGTTTAACTTCTCCACAGCCCTTAGGAGAACAGTATTCTATGATTTACCTTTAACTCTTCACTATTATGTTATTCGTTTTTCTGAGGTCCATTTTTTATATAATCTTTTGGCTGCTCTAAACACAAGAATTTTCCCATTGTTGTACAATAAAGGGATTTTCTATTCTATTCTATTCTGTTCTATTCTTCAGACTAGCAGACTCTACCTACCAGCCAGGACAATTCTGATAGCATGTTAAGACTACTATTTTGGTCTTAACATGAAAATCTCCCTTTTCACATCTAGTTAATTTTGCACGATATTTTTCTATCTATTAATATAAACTTTTATATATATATATATATATAGAGAGAGAGAAATCATATACACTTTTTAATAAAACGTGTCTTACTGTGCTTTGTAATGCAACATTAGGCATTGTAAAAAGTTGAAATCTGAAGCATTTTCTTCTTAAACTAAATGCATTTTTTCTTGAATTGATGAAATGAAACAGTTTACATTAAAAAAATAATTGCATTGTCTTATTCAAGTGCATTTATCTAAAATAAAAAGTAAAGTAAAAATACTCAATCCACTGGCCAATCATCTTATTTACCTACTCACATTAAGGGTAAATAGACTAACTTAGGAAATGTCTACTTATTTCTACATCATTCTTGCAGTGTGTTAAAAATGTCCGTTATGGGAAAATCAGAATAGTTGTAATCTATAATTTGCTAATTGATAGGTAGACAATGATAGACCAAACAAAAAACACTGTAGACAGGACACGGGACTTAAGCAGCTTAAAGTCCAGATTTTTGCCATTTCTGACATTAAAATTTAACACCTAACATTAGCTGCCATTCAAGAACCAGCACTGTTATGAAAACGGTGCAAATGGCCTGCTGCACAAACAGGTTGACCACATGCTGCTCAGCATCAACACTTATATTATGTTCTAGTGTTTCCTTTCTCGTTGAACACTTTCATCTCCGGTCTAAATGAAATTAGAGGCCATAGAGTAGCCTGCATGGTGCAAAAAAAAGCAAAAGATGCTTCAAACAAATAAGGAGAACATTTAAAAAAGGGGAAAGCATACTTTGGACTGACAGAAAGCAGCAATATGTGTGGCTGATGTGATGCTCTTTGGGCGAAAGAATAAAAAGGCAAATGAAAAGAGAGAGATTGTCATCTGCCGATGTTCTTTTGGCATTAAATGTCAGACTATAAATGTCATAGGTGGAGAAAAGAGGTGAGGAGGGTGTGATAATGCCTCCTTTCAAACCCATGTCTCCCCCAGCTCCCCCTGAAAAAGCCAGCAGTACCCTCTCCTGCTGATTCGGAAGCTCCTCTATGCCAGCATTTTGACTGCCACCAACATCTTGCCCAGAGGGTAGAATTTAGCCCTACATATGTGTGCATGAGCACACGCTCGCATGCAACCACCCCCTCACCTCTCTCCTACACACACAGCCCAATATCTGTGCATGCTTGTTTCTAAGAGATAACTGAAGCGAGCATGAAGGGAGAAGGAGCATTAGTTCAGGGACTTATCTATATGCCACTGCTCCAATTATCCAATATCTCCATTAAGGATTTAAAGCAACACAGTCTGTCGCACACAAAATGTACTAAGGAGTCTAGTAAAACAAGTCTGCATTGATGAAGAATTAGTATAAATTTATGTTTTCTCACTTGTCTAAACTGTTAAAATTGCATTTTTTTTCAGCTTAGGTGACTTCTTTTGCAGTTCTATTTATATGCTTCTATTTTCATAAAAAAAAGATTAAGGAATAAAGAAAATGAAAAACTGTCTTTAGCTTAAGCTGATGAATGATGCATCTATTTCACTTTGAGCTGTGTGTCTATACCAGGGGTGAGAACTGCAGGCTCAGTGACCCCAGTCACTGTGCGACGAGGACCACCGCCATGGTTGCCGATGGCAACAGATGGCTATATTGTAGTGTTAAGGCGCCTCAGCTCCTCCATCCAACTATGTGCACTAAAGTGCGACACACCTACACCACAGTGGGACACAATAAGCAGAACCCCACTTCTTATTCTTTCTTGTCGCCATGTTTTCCTCCTCAGCATCACTACTGTTCCTGCCTCTTCTCGTATCTTCATCTATAATCTGCTCTGTGTGCTCCGTCTTCGTGTGTCTCCTGCCTCCCCCTTGCTCGCCCATCTGTGCTGGCCTGCAGTCATAGTGCTGGCCTCTGAGTTGTCTGTCTTGTCTGCAGATTTGCCTCCTGTGATGTATGATGTTCCTTTCATGAGCCCAGGCCAATAATGACACAGCAGAGGGAGGGACATCGAATCTCTCTTCACTGGAATCGTAAAAGTGAATTTTTGGACCCAAAAAAACTGCCAAACCCGGATTAATTACTGTTGTGACTGGATTAGTCCTTCAGAAAATAGTATTTTAGAGTCTGCATACTACAGTTATTTAGTTATTTACTTAATGATTATTCAAACAATTGATTAATAAAATTTATCCAAATAATCATTTTAGCCCAAATAAACGTACAGTTGGGAAATACACTAAAAAGTGCTGTAAAATTGCGTTAGGTATTTCTTTTAAACAAAAAAAGGGCTGAAAGGATTATATATTATTGTTTTGCCACATTTTGGGCAAAAACGGGAAAAGCTTTTTCATCTAAAATCATTGATGGGTCAGCTTTATGAGATATACATAGATTGATATGTCCCATTTATCTCCAGAAACATGATTAAACTGAAAACTTGGCTTAAAGGGAAGCAACAAATCAGACCTGAGGGACCAATACCTACCATAATGTCTCTATTAGGGTTAAAATGAGGCTGTAAGCATCAATTTTCTTAGATGAGGCAGTTTAAACTTTTTAGATAAAAAAACACAGACGGATAACAACAGATGTGTTCATAATCTTCACATATGATAATAGGCAAACTGTTTTGTGTTGTGAGCCAAACAAATTGTGTAAATCCTTCCACCTATCACAGGTAGAGGCGGCAGGAGCTTGAAGTGACTTTTTCTTAAAACCCAAATTATGAGAAACTCCAAATAGTTTGAACACGACAGAAAACCACCATCCATCCAATCTTCAAAACGAATTACATCATTCCGAAGGAGTTTGCTTTATTGCTTGATTTGCTGATGGCAGCTGTGATCGATTACAGGAACATTAGCCTTGCCAACAAGAGCCTTTATATCCCAGAGTATGGTACTGGTTGGATAAGTCTTTGCACAGCTACTCTGAGGCAATGCCTCTAACTCCTCAATCTCTTTTACTGTCCTTTCTGATTCTGGGTGACCAGTGTGCTCTGCACTGATGAAGCAGTTGACCGCATTTTAATCACTTTCCAAAAACTTGGACTTACTTTGGACAAGTGAATCAATATGTCTACAGAGCGAATCCTGCAGTCATGGCAATGCAGGCAGCTGGGTTTGCTCAGACTGAAAACTTTTCACCAATTTCTCCAGAAGACCAGACTAAATTATCTCTGTAAAGTGTGTTGAGATGTGTTGTGAATTGGCGCCATATGAATAAACTGAAATTAATTTGAATATCATTAGTTACAATTCAAAATGCAGGTGAGAAGGACAAAGTATTGAACCATTTGAACATTTCCTTTAACTTGAAGTTCATAGAGCTGTTTATGAAAGAGCTTCATAACTGCTGCAATGTTATGGTTTCAAGGGACGGAAAGCAGGAAATGTGCAATGAAACTATCAAAATACGATTTCTTTTCAACATTTTTCAATCTTTTAATGTTTTATTTATCTGTGAGTGAAGCGTGTTCATGCTTCTGTGTGTCTGCACACACAATTTAATTATTAACATACATCTACAATATCTTTTCATGAACTACTGAAATTAGGGCTCACCTTTGTGATCTTTGGGTGAGCACAGCGGGCGTTTCCAGCTGCAGCGTGCATCCAGACGCTCTCGGGGGTAGTGCACTCCTGTCTGAGGGAGCACTTCTTGTCTCCTACACACCAACCACACTCGAACCTGGCGTTTGCCTTCAGACACATCCCGCAGCTGTCTCTTAGCGCATAGCATTTATACAGGTGAGCTGCAAATGAGAAGAACAGAAGAAACTGTGAGATTTAGGTGTTAATTTAGAGCAAAATTATAAATTATGATAAGCAAAACCTGCAAACACTTTATTTTGAAAAGGCCTGATTTCCTCTTCAGTACTGCAACAGAAACAGATTTGCTAGGACAAAGTGAAGGCCCTCTCACTCAGGGACCACTTCTTCCTCTTTCCAATTTTAACTCCAAATCCCACTGGTCTTAGAGCAGCTTTATAAAACCTGTAGCAATTACTGGCTGCTAAACGATTTCCCTGTAATTACATTAACCTAACCGTATTTGTGACTGAGAAGCATTGCTAACACTCTACCAGATGTCAACCCTGATGGCAGGGGGACATCTTTGTCCTGTAGATGCCCGCTAGACGCACTCAGGAGATTCCTATGAGTGATAACAATGCAGAGCCACTGATTCCCAATGCTGATACTGTCTGAACGTGTTTCTGCAGACGTGCCGTATATGTTACAGACACACTGCTATGACATCAGACGCAGCAAACACATGAAACATAAGACAACAACAGCTTGTTTGGTACATTTGGACATCAGGGACTGATCAATACCTGAAGTGACTTATATTACGGTCAAATGGTAGCAATCACCGCTTTACCAGCTTTAAAGACGAAACAGTTGGAGTACAAAGAATATGTCAGAGTGAAATCCCTCGGCTTCTTGCTATGTCTGCAAGCACCGAAGAGCAACGAGGAAAAGCAGATGATGACACTCCCTCTGAGAGGGCGTACATCCACGGGCCATATCGAACATTGATGAGGTTATTTCAGCTCACAGCAGGGGGATAATGTTATAGTCCCCCTGCTGTGCTATGTAAGCCACAATAATTATAAAGACAACACTATACAGAGTGTTTTACCGGTAATTATATCCAACAGACGTGATCTCATTGTCTCGTCCCAAAGTGGCGCATAAGATGTATGATTTTAAAGACGAACCACAAGGCTTGTTATTTGTATGGAAACACATAGGCAACAAGGTTGGGTTTTCTAAATAGACATTTCCATATGTTTTTCCCTCTTCACCATCAGTGAGGAAATCCTACATGATAAATTCAAAAACAGTTTTGCTTTTGAGGAAGCAGCCATAACCCTGAAGGCAGCTTCAAAACAAAATCAAAATCTGGGACAAAGACCTTAAAATTAGAGAGTCAGACTTTGATCTGAGCTGAAACTGAATTTCTAGGCCGTGACAGCTATTGTCATATTTAGAGATAAAGGTAAAAGCTAGCAAACTGAGAAGATCCCCCAGTTGTTAGGTAGGAAATTATAATTTCTCATAATAAATAAAATCCCAACACAAAAAAACTTCACAAATATTTTTACAACATGGCTAAAAGACAGGTGACCATAAATACGTCTGAACTTCCGTCCTAACCCATAAATCTTTCAATTACTATATAGAGGACTTTATAGTGAACTAAGTTAACTGACCGTTTGGACAGACAATCACTACTTTTAGCTCCCCGTTGGTCACGTAACTCTGCATTCCCGCAGGGCGCCTCTGCCATCTTTGTTATTTGTCACCGTTGTCAGTTAGCGACCGCCGTAGGGGGTTTATTGTAGCGGGCTGCTGTGACAGCATATCCCGTAATGCTTTGCGAGGAAAGCTCTCCCAAAGTATTCTGGGATATATTGGCTTGGATGGGTGATCACTACTTTTGAAGGTGCATTGTAGGAGATTTCGACTCCACTACTTTTTCATCCACTAGACGTTAGGACACTCATTTCAAATGACATAACCACTATTTAGGGCCCTATATATTGATTAGGACAGACATTCGGAAACAGCCTAAGAGGATATGTGGGCGGAGCTAAAGAGGTGGAATCAGCTGCCTACATCATACTATAATATTCTCCGTTGTGAGATCAATAAAGTTCAATAAAATTTTATTATTATTATTTAGAGGAAAGAATGAGGGGTTATTAGAAAAATATCAACTAATGTAAAATAAAAAGATCTGGGTGTGAAAACTAAAGGAGAATCAAAAATCCCTGCCAACAGTATGTTAGTTAGACAGCTGATTGCAGGCTTAGCTGGACCAGATTTTCCCCCTGAAAGGGTTTCTAGCCCATCATGAAGCTACAGAGAGGAGCTTGGGATAGAATAACATCAACATTCACACATAATGTTGATTTAGAAAAACAAATTAACCTAATGTGTGTTTTAAAGTTGTGGGAGGAAACTGGAGTACCTGGAGAGAACCCACACATGCATTGGTGTCTTTCTGATTAAAGCAAAAAGAAATCAAGCTGTGGGTTTTTAATTTAGGTTTTTGTGTAAATACTGACAAAAGGGGGATTTTCTTAATGCTGTCAGAATCTCATTCCAGCCTAAATCCTTATAGCTGACAGATCCTATCGCCTTTAAAGAAAAAACTGTTAATTTAATTGAATTCTGCATAAATCTGCTAAGAATCGTAGATGCAACCTGGCCCCATGTATGACAGGCTTATAGGAAAAAATATTTAGCAGAAAAAAACATACCCTTTAAGCAGGATGTATAAATGATAAATGGATGTAAACAAAGCAGCCTTCAGTGATTGACGTCCCACTAACTCACCTTTAATGTTGTAGGGGTTGTCGATGACAAAGTTTCCATTCCAAACCACAGACAGATCCACGGGAAGGTCGCTGATATCACTGCCGTCATAATTATACTGAAAAAGAAAACAACATTAACGCAAAGATTAGTACAAAGTTGCTTATTTAAAACTTTCTTCTTGAGATAATCAACATCCTTGGTTCAATTAAGGAAGGAAAAGGTAAGAGAAAAACTGGAAAGAAGAAAGCGAGTTCAGCTATGGTGGTGATGCGATATGCTACGGCGCTCACAGTCAAAGAGCCATAAAAATGAAGTATGAGAGACAGGCTATATTGTGATTTTCACACATGGCACATCCACGGCTCCCTGGCAGAGCGCAGAGTTGATTAAGAAACTGGGATCCCCATCACTGCATGACTCATTCCATCCCAGTGATGAATGAAAAGCCTAATATATCTCCAACAATAATATTCTCATCTAATTTCATTTTTTGCATCCTGAACTAATAAGAGTTGAAACGTAATTGACTCCTCGACGGCATAATCAGTTTTATGGATTTGCTTTAAATGAGACAACAAGCCTCAGAAGCGGTAATCTGATGGCGGTGTATGTGAACCCAAGGGATGACATGGAAAAGAGCTCCTTTGAGACTCCTCCTAACAAATAAATACCGACGATTATCAGCACCAAATAAAACACAGCTGTAGAAGGGGCACCTCCACCCATGTGATAACCCACAGAGGGAAATCATTTTCACAAAAGCCATGCAGGACCAGTGTTGCAAGCAGACGCAGGTTTGTATCCAACTATCAACAGGCATCATTGGGTCATCAAGTGGCTATAAAAATCTACCATCTAACGTCCAACTGGTTGTTCAGTCATGTCTAAAGTCTTTTCTGCATTTTTAATCACAAACCTGGAGTAAGTTTACCAACTCTACAGGTAGTTTAACTGGTACTGAGTGCTTTTGTCAGATGAGAAGAACAAAGAGCTGCTTGATGGGTTTGGGGTTAAACACATGATGAGTGAGCAAAATCACTTCAAGCCCATTCTTAAGGGCTGGTTATACTCACACAGCAGTGTGTTGCAGTGAGATTCACGTAGAAATTTTTGATCTGTGCCCACTTTTGAAGCGTGGTCTACGCTATGTTATATTCCAGAGAGGTACAATAATGAACTAGCTGTGGGTCTAAATAAAGCTGGTGGTGAGGAAATGCGGGCAAGTTTGTGCGATCCAGGTGGAAAAAGGGTCCCAGCGTTCTCACGCACCTCGCTACTCTAGCTGGTTCAACTTTGCGCGTTGTTTTCCGCATTTGCGTTCATACAAACAAAACAAGCCGGCAAGCAGTTGTAGATTTGACCAATCAGAGGCGTCCTGTCTGCGGTCACCTACAATTTGGGAGATGTGCAGCAGAATGTCTGCAGAGGGGGCGGGGACGTCTTTGCGTTCACTGCGACACCTACGCAGACAACCTAGTTTCAAAGTATAAATCAGCCTTTAAGGAAATTGGGGAATCTGTCATGCTGTGGGCATTTTTTCCCCAAAAAGCCTCCTTTGAGGAGATGGTGTGGTTACGTTTTTGAAATGACAAGAGATTGCATTCATTAAATCAGGTAACAAAATTGAAATCATTCTGTAACCAGAGATAAAGAAGAGGAGATAAAGGGAAGACTGTTTGCTCTAGTATTATGAAATGTTATAACTGTAAAGCTCTCGTTTAGCAAGACAGGCCAACACAAAGTAAAGAAAGAAGGAATTTGTTTAAAAAGGATATCTTCCAGTTGGATACTAAAAAAATCAGGATAGTGCTACTATACAGAGACCAAAAAAAAAACTACAGAAATATTTATGCTTGATAAATATGGCAGCCAATGCACATAATAAAAACAGGCGACAGATCCCCGACGTAGGGACCATAGCCTGCAGGAGTTTAGATAGGACATAATACCGCCGTCACTCAGAAGGTGCCCAATAGCCTTCCCTCCTCTGCTATGGTCACCATCTTCAGTAGCTTCAGGGGGGCAGAGATAGCAGCCCTCTTCTCTTGTGGTGAAGTGGTGATAAAATCGAATGTGAAAGCTCCTGTCCTGAAGCTACAGGGCCCTCACAGATTGAATCCAGCTACAACTTGTTCCCACTATGCGATATATATCCCACTTCATAGGGATACAGTGAGATTTATCCGAACATCTGTAATAATAGAGATTTTAAATGTGTTTTAGTGGAGGGGGGGTGGGGTGAAGAAATGTGCATAGACGAGATAAGAAAATGAAAGGACGCAGTAATGTAACAATTTGTGAATAGCTGATTAATTCTTTCTTTGCTTCTGTGATTGGATGATTTGCATTCAGTGTGCCCTGAAGGTGGGAAGGAATAAAGAATAACGTTGGTGTGTAGCTCAGATTAAAATTGTAGTTTTTAATTTTGAAGAGGAACTCCAGCCAAAATGGGATATCAACTTTAGCTCTGATTTATTCAGGTAGTGGTGGGCTATGACACTGGAATCCTAAATGAAAGATGTGGTCTATGTCAAAGTTTGTACTGTATAGTTTATGTATTCAGGCAAATAAAATGTTTGCTATCAAGCATATAAGAGAAGAGCGCAACAAAAACCCGACATGCCGCAACTAACAATATATGTAGAGCATGTTTTATGTGTGATTGAAAGTCCAGGGGTGGGGTGAAATTTAAGACAAGCTGTTAAGAAGAAGTCTCATCCAGCAACAAGGAAGAAAGAGCAGAGAGCAGATTATTCAGCAGCAGGGGTGAAGGAGAAATATCGAGGCCAAGATGGATAGAGGGAGGTGATTGTGTGTTATTTCGTGGACACCATTCATTTACACACGGAATAAGAGGCCATGGCTGGGCTATAAGCGCCTGAACTGGTGGGGGCTAAAGTGAAATTGGCATTTTCAATTTGTTCTCTGACACGTCTGCCTTGGTCTATTCACACATTCCTTCTTCTCTCCCTATCCTCCTCCTGACTCCCGCCTCTTCCCTTCTTTTTCCTCTGCCTCTCATTATTCCTTCCCCGCACCTCTGCTCAATCCTCTCCTGCTATCAATCTCGACCCGACTTTCTCTCGTCTATCTCCATGCCCCCAAAACACCCACAGTCAAACGAGGAAATATGAAGCAGATTCCTTTATCGCATATACCAAACATCCCAGGCGCGGTGCTATAAATACACAACCAGCACATGGGGCAGTTTCCGGAGAAGTGTTGTTGGAAAATTCATCAAAGACTTGTTAAAAGCTCTGTACTGGAAACCTAAATGAAATAAGTTAACACATGCGAACACTTGAAGTTAGAACATGCACACAAACAGCACATTTTGGACATTTTGTTTTTCTCCAATTCAAACAAACGGATTCTTCAGTCTTTTCCGGCCTCCTCCCAATCCTCACCACACAGAGACCACCCAGGCTGCCTGAGAACAAGATGATGTTTTCTACAAGGGTTGAAGAGGGTGCACGAGTATGTCTGAGTGTGTGAGATTGTGCAGGACAATGGGATAGAGGACAATGCAGGGTAACAGTGATACTCAGGGACACATGTTTTGCACAGATGCAAAATTAAAATGCCTAACCTTTGTTTGTTTTAAAAGTAAATAGAAATGTAGGTATATTACAAATTTGTGACAACATTAATACTGGTTATGGACAACATACACGGTAAAGAACCATTTGTAATGGAAACCAGAGCTTGCCAAAGGTTCCTAGGTCCACTCTAAATATATAATAACAGGCATAATAAGCTAATAGATGGTGGATAAAGGTGGGCCACTAACCCACCACACATGCCTGAATCAAAGGTGTTGGCTGATGGCTCAGAACATCCTTGCTTAGCCTTTTACTCTCCTTTTCTAGTCAGCGATCAGCCTTTGTAAATCCATCAACAAAGAGGTGGGGGGGTCATGTGTTAGGTGGGGAGAAACCTGGGTTTCTGGAGTCATCATTTAAAAAACCATGAATAATTACTAAGGGAGAGGTGTGCATGGGCATGTATGTGCATTTAATGGGTAGCAGAGGTTAGGGCACGAACAGGGATTGTTAAGTTATGATTTAAAGCTCATCGTCCTTCACAGAACCAGAAGCTTGTTAAGCTTTCATAGTAAATCTGCAGAGTGGCTGATACATATTTAGGTACAGCAAAAAAAGAAAGAAAAATGCAACCTCCTGTTAGACTTCCCCATTTTTACTCTTCCATATGTTGTTGTTCATTTCTTATGCTACAACCTTTGGGCTGATATTAATTTGAAAAGTAAAAAGATGGTTAAAAAAAAACGACATTAGAAAAAAGTGACCAATTGGACAAAATATACAGACTGCATTAAAAAAAAAAAAAAAAAAAAAAAAAAAAAAAAAACACAGCATATAAAGACCACCTGGTAGAAGGAATAAATAGAAGCATAAGAAACAAATAAAACCAGTAAAATTTAAGAGTCGCCAGCAGATAATTAGTCATTCATAAACTGGACACCTGAAAATATCAAACTTGCCCCGGGCAAGTCTATACCTATGACAAGACGGGCGTTTTTCCTTCAATCGGCAATCCTGAAAAGGTGATTAGAGGAAAGTCAGACTTGGCTGAACACATCCTTCAAACAGCTCAAATTTCCTTGCAACTATAAGAAGGAAAGACAAGGAAACAGAGGATGCTGAATCAAAGCTGGTCCGTCTGAAGAAATGTTCTCCAATCTAGATAAGGTCGGCGACATAGTCCACATTTAAACAGCCTCATGCTCACTTAAACACACAAATACACACAGTCAACATCCAGTCAGATATGGCGTTCTAATCAAGGATCAAATGGTAATCCTTCCCACAGCTTAGAGAGTGTAGATGTGTGTACAGTATGTGTGAGGTCAGCCTTTCCCTGCTCATAATAGGAGTCTGTTAGCCAGTGCTAATCGTTAATGCTAACAGGATTGGAGCATGGCCGGACCCAGTTAGTCAGCTTATCTCGCGCACAGAGACCTAAGCGCACACAAACACACAATCACAGGCCGGGACTAATACTTTCTACACTAATAGAAAGAAAAACGGAAAGAAGAGGAGAGGAGAAAAATGCTGGCCTCAGAGAAAAATAATGCTATTATAGTCAATGTTTCTT